TCGCAATGCAATCTTTACTTAATCGCAATCATACATTTTAAAGTAAACAAATCCCTGCAATTAAATCAATTAATAAATTAATACTGATGCTTTTACACATGGAGCCTTAAGTCTGTCTAGCAGATTATCATGTAGTTAATGCTTTCGCGGCTTGGAGTTTGAACCTTCGTAACACATGCAATTAAAACGGATTAAAATAATAAGTTTATTTTCCTTATAGCGGCTTTGACGCATGCCTAGTTATCCTGGCCCTGAGCAGAACTACACAGTTAACCTCTTCTACTTACTACTCAAATAGCGAAATTATGCATTAATTAGTATTCACTCTACCTTGGTTAGACTTCTGGTAGGATTAACACAAAATTCATTAAAAGTTTTCACCATATTATTCTACTTCCCGAATGGATTTAAATATATTTTATTCAAAGACATGTACTATAGACATACATAGTTGTATGACAGATTTACCTAACCATTAAGTAGGCGGAGAACATATCTCAGAAAGCTTAAAAACATTTTCTAAGATCTAAACAGTTTTCCGTATGTTTGTATTTCTCGTACTTCCCCCAATATGAATTGATTATTATATTATAGAATTTTAAGCAAGATGTTTTGTTTTTTTAACCTTTTGGTTGTACAATTCTGTTTACATTTTTTATTTGGTTCCGTCCCCAGTCGATCGAATGTGCGCATTGCACACAAAATAATTTCTAAATAATGCACTTTCAAACAACGCAATGTGTCACTAAAGTCAAAGTTCCAATAAAAGTGTTAAAGCAGACATCTACGTAAGTTGACGTTTTATACTTTTGGTACTAACACCTTTATACAAAGCAGTCACCTAGCTTGTAAAAATCATTCCTCAACAGTCAATAAACAAGGTTTTCAAACCGAAACTATGGGCATATAGTTTGTAGTAATCTATCATTAGAGTTACTTGGATCTACACAATTGTATTAAACTTTCACTGATAAAATATATATTTTTTGGCTTATAATGCTATATGCCTAATATTACATATTATATTACCCAAATTATTGAGGCAGCACACTTCGAGAAAGCGGTGTCGTGTCTTGCAATATGAGTATTCATTTTAATATGGAGTGGAAACAACTTTAGTGTTAATCACAGCCTATATTTTGCTACTAACATTTGCCACCAATCACTGATACATATCTAATGAAGTAGTTAAACGACTTTTTGAATAACAGCTCTAAGTTTTGGGGTCTGTTCTTTTTTTTGTCCTTCACCGATTCTCGGTAACGTCTCAGGAGTGTTTCAATTGAATTTATGTTGGGATTCATCGCTGTACATGATGATTTTTCATTATTCTTCTCAATACTAATATTCAAGTATCGTAAGAGCTGACACTTTGCACACAATCCTATATTGAATATCTAATGGCCCTAAGCTTGTCCGTGAGGCCTAGCAGCATTATATTTTTTGTAATAATGGTTTCTTTTTAAAGTTCTATAGAATAAGTTAAAACTAGATGGACTGTTTCATTACACATCAAATTCCAAAGTGTGCATGGACTGAGGAACGATTTCTTTTAGGCAGTCGAGCATATATTTCACATTAGTACACGTCAAGTGGATCTAATTATCCACAGTGGATATGAGTAATGGGTAGGTGAACTGAAGTATCTTAAACAGTAATAAAAATGAATGATGCATTCAATAAACATACCTGTTAGGAAATTAGAAACTAATATTATCAACCGATCAGAAGATGTGAACAGAAATTTTGTACACAAAATATAGTTTCACATTGCTTCTTCATTTGCGAACACAGAAGACATTTCTAAATCTATACAAATTGTGGTTTACAATAATTATTATCAATGCTTTAGTAACTTGTGTAGCAAGAGCCAATACAGTTTCGTTAATAGAAACTAGTTTCACTTTACTGCACAATTTATCGTTTTCGAATGCACGGAAAAAAAAAACCGTCTGCATTGTCAATTTACAGATGAGGGTCATATTTCCAATAAAACTTGCTACATTGTCAATTTACAGAAGAGGTTCATACTTCCAATAAAACCTGCCTCCATAGTCAATTTACAAATGAGGGTCATATTTTCAATGAAACCTGCTACACTGTCTATTTACAGAAGAGGGTCATATTTCCAATTAAAAGCAATTCCCATCCTGATATGCTGCATAATTCGACCAAAAAGCTAATATAATCAAAATTTGGACTAAAAATACACTGAGTACTAATTCAAGCTATCTTCTACTTAATATACTACAAGCTGATTGTAAACAAAGTCATCTTAGGATTAAATTGAACACTTTTATGTCACGAGAATTTCCCTAATTATGCATTCAAAGTAAATGCTGGCAACAGCTTTAAGGTAGGAGCAATTTTTTGCCAAGAAGTATTGAATATTATACAGTTGTACATGTTATTGTAAATTGTGTATCACCATCACTGAAAGCTGTTATATTGATCTAGAGGTAAGATGTCTGTAAAAATGTAAGACTAAATGGCTATAAGAATAATATAATAATGTGTTGCACACATTTTAGACTTTGATTTACTTTAATTTAATTTGACATATACAGATTGGTTTCATCAGGTCTATTATGTCTTGTTTTATTCAGTCCAACTGTTGCAGCTATTAACTTTTATAAAAGGTCAGTGGAACATGCTTATTACTGTTGGGGGTGGGTGGGTGCTGTCTCAGTACATTTGGTAATAAGGTGTCTATTGGAACTCTTCAATGACCAACCAACCATAGCTATACATCTCTACATATTTGATTTCAATGTGTGTTTTTTGAAGTATGCGTAAAACACAATATTTTCAAATAGTCTTTTATTGACTATCTATGAAACTCTCTTTTAATTCTTTCTTCATTAATTCTGTTTGGAAGAAAGTTTTAAGCAGAAATACCGAAACAAAGACAGGTTTCTCTTCTTTAGTAATTTTACTTTTGTTTTTATTTAATCTAAAGGCAAATTCTATTGCCTTTTTTCATCATTTTACGCTTGATTTACCTGGTCAAAAATTACAAACAAAGAATATATATACGTCTAGTATACTTCACAGAAAGTAAAAAAAACAGGAGAAAAATGAACAAATTTTAGATATACAATGTGTGGATATTTGCTGCCAACGTGCAAATATTCTGTTAAATAGATATAAAGACACGTATTTTAGTGAATATTTAATGATATTTTTTCAAGGTTCAAAATCATCTTAGTCTTAAGTTAGTCAACATATGAAAAATAAATGTAGTTTCTTAAAGACACGCGTTAGTCTATTAATAATTTCCAGAAATATCCTTATATACGCAGCATAATTTATTTTGATCTAAGTCGTGGTATATAAAGTTTGAGGCAATATGTTTTAAAATTCCATAACTAAATGACGTCATGTGTAAAAATATCATAATATATTTATGGATTCTAGGTTTTTGACTTCATTAGTTAACCCGGGCGTGACCTAGTAGTTAGAGTGCCCGGACTGTGAATCTGAGCGCCCATGGTTCATGTAAAATTGTCACAAAATCACCTTGAGGCCATGGGTGTGTTATAAGAGTGACAATGAAATATCATGATTCGCTTAGAGTATCCCAAGATTTGTAAGTGGGTGTTATTGACTAGCTGTCTTCTCTCTAGTCATTTCTTTCAAAACTGCGAATGGCTAGTGCAGATAGCTCTTGTGTAGCTTTGCGTGAATATGTGAAACAAACAATAAATTTTTTTTCGATCTTAATATCAATTCCATGATAAACAGCACATTATTTTAAACACTTAAGTCAAGATATTCTACCTAATATTGATTGCATATTTTAAATAAGTGTTGTTATTTTTTTAACAGAGCGTTTGAGAATTTTCACACAAAAGCTACACATAGCGTATAGCCGCCCCTACTTTTAAACTGATAATTGAAAGGGAAGGCATCTAGTTAACAGCATCTATAGCCAATTATGGCTATTGTTGACTCATGGAGCAATAAGAAGTGACCGTCTCATGAGCGCATCCACAGCTCCACAGTTTAAAGGACGTTGTTGTGGAAAGGGGTCGCCAACCAATAATCCTCGAATTTACAGTTCGTTCCCATAATCACTAGGTCACATGCTTGGCTCTACATAACTAGAGAAAACAATATTTCATCAAAAATTATTTGGTCTGAAAAGTTGATGTATTTGTGAATGTGGTATGGAAGCAGTTAAACTTTAAAAACCATTAGGAAATATGCAAAGAGTTTCCCATAATTCAAGATAATTAAGCGTGAAACGGGCAACTAATTATCTTTAGATACCTTAAAAAACATAGTTTCATAACTTTTTATTTTCTTTATTTGTAAGCCCAGAAATTAATGAGACATTTTTCACTGTAAACACGGAATGACAAATCACTGTAAAAAATGTTGCAGCAGTTACACGGGTAATTTAACTTTAATGGATTTTTCAGACTGCCCATAAGGAAGAAGTTAAGGATTCCAAGTGCTAAGATTGGTGTATTTCAACGCAATACATCGTACTAAGGTCAGAATTTTAAATTTAAAAAAATGTTTTCTTCAATAAGCATGTCAAAGTTGTATCCTGACAAAAATGTTTTTTTACACATCTATCAAAAATTATATTTGTATTTTTTTTATTTGCCTTCTATATTTGAAAAGCTTGCCTTGGAAACATTAGCCTTTTCTACAGGACAGAGATGGTTTGTTTTTGTTGTAAAGTAGTACAGGTATTAAAACTATCAGAAGCTTTGTCTGGCAGTCATCTTCCACGTATTATAGTCATTTTATAGATATGAAATAAATGGGTAGGTACGACTTTAGTACATGATAATCAAAATTCGATGATTTCATGACTATTTAAGCATAGAATTATTGCCTATAATTGCATACAAACTTAATGATAGGCATACACCAATTCACTAATATTTGCATTTATTTTACAAGTACGAGGCGATAAAGTTATTGTATTCAGCGCCACCAATCGGTCGGTAGCCAGGTTACCCTTATAAAGACGATCGTAGCTTACCAACGTTCAATAGAGATCAAGCGCTCGTTCAAGTGAAATGCGAGATCTGTCTAACATCACCAACGTAGCTGTTTTCGAATCACTGTGCTTTGTTGCCCCTGGGAAAATACGAGACATATACTAAAATCTGGCGGTAAAAGATAAATTTGAATGGCGGATTTCCTTCATAACCTGTTATCTCGCTTGTCGAAGCAACAGGGAACGCTTGTGGATAACACCTGCACAGCTATTTCATTTTGGTTTACAACAGAAATGCTGCCATCTACCTTGTTATTCTGGTTTCTTCTATTCTCAGAAATACAGACCGGTGAGTTGTTCTGGTTCTGAAATGAAGTAAAAATGTAATAAAATTAGTAAAATCGGAAAGTCTTACCTTTCTGAAATATATAGAGTACACTCAACTACTCGCCTGGTTCTTTTTTTTTTTTTACTACGAGTTAGCTATCTATCTATCTTAGAAATTTTAGTCATTTTCTTAAACATGAACCAGCTTTGTTATGTTGGATATGCATCATTGTAAATACTTGAATATTGAATAGTATGTTCATCTTTCTTGTTTTGATAGATTGTATGAAATTCAATAATCAATGATTTTTTAAGCGTTTTAATCGTTATATGCTTTACTTTTTGGTGATTTGATTTACGACCTTAAATATTTCTAGTGGGTTTTTATATAGTATTCATTCTCAGTGTGGTTAGTTTACTTTTAATCAGAAGTTCTTACTATGGTCATTCCACCTAAATGTTTTTCTATAATAGATTATGTCTTTTCATCTATATTTGAAAAGTTTTTGGTGTGTTTTATAATACATTCTATCTTTCAACGATAAGTTTTTCGTGTGTTTTATAATACATTCTATCTTTCAACGATAAGTTTTTGGTGTGTTTTATAATACATTCTATCTTTCATTGACAAGTCTTTTCTTCTTCAACGTTTATATTATACATCTTATTTTTCTATATATTTATCTAGAAGTTATTTGAACGATTTTATAAAACATTCCATTTCATGTCTTTAGTTTATTCCCAAAACAATTTTGACCGTTTCAAATAGTAATAAAAAGAGGTGCAGGTGAAACAGTAAAAGCGGTGCAATTACCATAATGGATGTTGTGATCAAATGGTGTTCCAGATACCTAGAGGTCTCTCGCATTGTAGTTTCTGTATATGTTACACATATTAGATTAAAATGAATCAGCCAGTTGTAGGAAGCTACAGTAACATCATACTAAGTTGTAGTATTCTATATAGATAAAAACAAAATTCAATTAGACTTGTTTATTTTTAGGGTAAAAGTAACCATGAACCTATTAGTAGTTTAATGCTAACGCGAACGATGTTTGTGCCAATGCTACGCACATAAAATTAATTTGTTGGATAAACTTGCATATACCAATTTGAGAATGAAGAAAGTTTTTTGAATATTTTTCCTGTGTAGATATGTCTTGCGTCCATTTTGAAAAATATTTTTTTTTGTGTGTGTAGCACTTTATGTCTTTTTAATAGGGAGATGTTTCGCCTAGTTTTTACGTTCGATTCACGCTATAAAATTCCAACCAAACACTTATTCAAAACGCCTGTAAAACAAGCTTCAGTGTGAGTATGAGTTAAAGGATAACATCATTTGTAGCTGGCTCACCAGAAAGCGAAGGGTAGTTAATAGAGAGAAATATACTATAATATATCGATCACCTGCACTTATTCAAAACGCCTGTAAAACAAGCTTCAGTGTGAGTATGAGTTAAACGATAACATCATTTGTAGCTGGCTCACCAGAAAGCGAAGGGTAGTTAATAGAGAGAAATATACTATAATATATCGATCACCTGCACTTATTCAAAACGCCTGTAAAACAAGCTTCAGTGTGAGTATGAGTTAAACGATAACATCATTTGTAGCTGGCTCACCAGAAAGCGAAGGGTAGTTAATAGAGAGAAATATACTATAATATATCGATCACCTGATATAGTCTAGTTATATAACATGCTTATTTGAAACAATACACAATTTTATGAACTTAAATAAAATGCTCCGCACGGAAACTGTTCGCGTTGTGACCACATGTTTCTTAAATTATATTTGTTC